TGGTTATAAGCCTACCGTTCTTTTCGAAAATTCGTGCAGTGACATAGGTCTCCTTTCTATTTCGATGTCAATTGCTATGACTTATTCTACTTTGCTTTTAGTAATTATGTTGATGTCTGAATTTGCATTGCGCGTTTGATTTACTTTAAACAATTGAGTCAACAACTTGCGGCCAATAGAACTTGCATTGGCTAAGGAACACGAACTGGTGGCGGAATCTGACTAACGAACCTCCTTTTGTGACAAAAAAGAGACAAATGAAGAAGGAAAATGACCGTGGTGGTATTGTTACAGCATTTTACACAATAGGTCTCCAACCTTCTAACTTTGTCCCAATTTCATTCTCATTAAGATGTTATAAGATGCATCATCTCCATATTCAGGGACGGACCTAGCAAAAGATCTCAGCCCGGGCGGACGTTGACCGGTCAACGTCGACAATCAGCGATCGTAAGAGCGAGGCCAGTTTATTAATATTTAATTACATAATATTTAATCAGCCAATAAAGCCATTTTTCAGCCAATAAACTTAAGGCATAAATCATAATTTTATATCCCAAACAGAAAAACTACAAATCTACAATCAGACAATCACCAATATCAATATCCAATTCACCAAATCACCATTCACCAATGAAAATATAAAGGGCAGTAACCACTAACCTGTAACCGGCTGAAATAAATTCACAATTATTTTGCTGTTCTTTTTTCTTCTTGCCATTGCTGAGCAGCTGTTGCCTGTTGGCCTGTTGGATGTTGCAGCATTGCTGGCACTTGTTGCTGAGGCGCTGCTTCACGAGTTCACGTAATAAATAACTTTGAGAAACCTACCACAAATTCCACAATATCAATGTGCTGTGAATTTTATTCACGTTCAACAGTTCAAGCAGGCAGTTCACACTTCACAGTTGGCAAAAATCAAAATAATGTACAGACCACATACGAGCTGTGACAGGCCGACAGCAGACTTACTAGGAAATGTAAAGTAACAGCATGCACTTGCAGAGCTGCGCGCCATCTCCAGATGCCCGGACCCAGAGAGGCGATATTTGATCGAGTCGAAAGAGACGAGATCACAAGAGAGTGGAGTCTGTAGACTCTGAGAATTTGGGAATTTAGGGATTTGGGTTGGGGCAGTTAAATGGGCCGCATTGGCCCAATTTCAAAAAAAAGCTGGGCTGGCCAAATTGGCCCATTTTCAAACTGAAAAAAAAAAAAGAAAAGAATGCAAAGCACCAGAAAGGTTGAGGAAGAAGACGGACCACGAACATATATCTTTTCACAAATTCCCTCCCTGACTTAAGTATCGGAGGGGCGCCGAGGAAACACCTCGACGCC